GCAGCTAGGAAACTGACTGGCATTAGTGGCCAAAGGGCAGCAGCCCCGAGAAGCTGGAGCTCCTTGCTTTTTATTCAGTGCAAGCATAATGCCAAGAGTCTGGGGCAAACACAGCCTGTAGGTAATTAACATTTATTGGTTCCCTGAAAGGGAATGTTGCATGGATGATCAAAGGTCCATTGCTGGTCAACATAAGTTAACAAGCCTGTTAAAGATAAATCCCCCTACACTCCCTGTACCTACTCATTGCCCTCTGCATCAGGGTTAGAGAACAGCTGACTTCAGCTATTTTGCCCTGACGATATGCAGAACCTTCCAACCTTTCAGAATGCCTGCTCCTTTCCCTATAGTTCCTCCCACCACTCTGACTGATCTCCTACAGATATTAATATTTGGTTCCTTTACCATATGCTCAGAGTACTTATACTCTTTTGTAGCCCAGGGAACTGTTTTCTCCCTGGTTTTGAATCCTGTGATATTGATGATAATAATCAACATTATATATTTGGTTTTGGTTTTCTGTGAGTGGCAGTAAAGCTAGCTTGCTTCTAGGCTGCTATTTTGGTACTAGAACAGAAATTCCTAACAGAATTTCAGCAAGCCAAATCCAATAGTGTATTAAAAGAGCAATGCATTATTACAAAATGGGGTTTATCATTAAAATGCATGGCTGATTCAATGTTTAAAAATGAAACATGGTAAAACTATACAAGAGCTGACAGAAAAAAATAGCCAGTGTAGAAAAGAACATAAACAACTTGGTAGAGCTGCAAAACATACTACAATAATTTCCCAATGCAATCACAGGCATCAGCAACAGCATAGAACAAGCTAAGGCAAGAATCTCAGAGCCTGAAGACTGGATTTCTAAAATACACAGTCAAATAATAATAGAGAAAAAAAATAAAAAGGAATGACCAAATCAATGAAAAACATGAAGCTATGTACAGAGGCAAAAACTATAATTCATTTTTGTTCCTGAAAGAGATGAGGAGAATGAAGCCAACTTGCAAAAAGTATTTTGGAATGTCATCCATGAGAGTTTTCCCAAACCTAGCAAGAAAGGCCAACATTCAAATTTAAAACTGTAGAGAAACCCAGTAAGATACTTCACAAGAAGATCATTTCCAAGACACGTAATTATCAGATTTCCCAAGGGCAAAATGAAAGAAAAAAAAGTTGAAGACAGTTAGAGAGAAAGGTCAGGTTACCTATAAAGGGAAGCCCATGAGCCTAACAGCAGACCTCTCGGCAGAAACACTACTATCCAAAAGAGACTGAGGGCCAATATTCAACATCCTTAAAGAAAACAAATTCCAACCCAGAACTTCATATCTTGCCAAGGTAAGCTTTATAAGCAAAGGAGAAATAAGATCCTTTTTAGACAAGCAAATGCAGAGGGAATTTGTTGCAACCAGACTTGCCTTACAAGAGCTCCCGAAGGAATCACTAAATATAAAAGGAGAGACCTTTACCAACCACTACAAAAACACACTGAAGTATACAAACCAGTATACTTTAGGAGCTTCACAAAGCAACCAGAAACATAAGTCTGCATAACAACCAGCCGACATCATGATGACCAAATCAAATCCACACATATCAATACTAAACTTGAATATAAATAGGCTAAATGCCTCCAATTAAAGGCCCAGAGTGGCAAACTGGATATAGAACCAAGACCCAAGGGTATTCTTTCTTCAAGAGACCCATCTCAAAGGCAGTGACACTCATAGACTCAAAATAAAAGGATGGAGAAAAATCTACCAAGCAAATGGAAAACAGAAAAAAAGCAGGGCTTGCAATCCCGGTTTCAGACAAAACTGACTTTAAACCAACAAAGATAAAGCACAAATAAGGGTATTACATAATGGCAGAGGGTTCAATTCAAGAGAAGATATAACTATCCTAAATATATATGCACTCAACATATGAGCACTCAGCTTCATAAAGCAAGTTCTTAAAGACTCTCAAAAAGACTTAGACTCCCATGCAATGCTAGTGGGAGATTTCAACACACCACTGAAAATATTAGACAGGTCATTGAGGCAGAAAATTAACAAAGATATTCAGGACCTGAACTCAGAACTGAATCAAGTGGACCTGATAGACATCTACACAACTCTCTACCCCAAAACAAGAATACACACTGTTCTCATTGCCATAGGGCATATACTCTAAAATTGACCCTTCAGCTGATAAACAACTTCAGCCAAGTCTCATGATATAAAACCAACATAAATATATCACCAGCATTCCTATGTACCAACAACAGTCAAGCTGAGAGCCAAATCAGGAATGCAATCTCATTTAAAATTGCCACAAAAAGAATAAAATACCTAGTAACACAGCTAACCAGGTAGGTGAAGGAGCTCTAGAATGAGAAAAATAAAACACTTCTCAAAGAAATCAGAGATGACACAAACAAATGAAAAAACATTCTATTTCATGGAAAGGAAAAATCAATATTGTTAAAATGGCCATACTTCACAAAGCAATTCACAGATTCAATGATATTCTTATTAAATCATAAATGACATACTTCACAGAACTAGAAAAAAAAATTCATATGGGACCAAAAAAGCCTAAATAACCAAGGCAATCCTAAGCAAAAAGAAGAAAACTAGAAGCAGCATGATACCTGACTTCTAACTTTACTACAGGGCTACAGTAAACAAAAAAAAAAAAAAAAAAAAAAAAAAAAAAAAAAAAAAAAAAAAAAAAAAAAAAAAAAACAGGTATACAGACCAATGGAACCACAAGCCTAGTAATAAGGCCACCCTGCTACAGTCATCTGATCTTCAACAAAGCTGATAAAAGGAATGAGGAAAGGACTCCATATTCAACAAATGGTATTGGGATAGCCAGCAGAAGATTGAAACTAGACCTCATATATAAAAATCAATTCAAGATGGATTAAAGACTTAAATGTAAAGCCCAAAACTGTAAGAAGTCTGAAGACAACCTAGGCAATACCATTCTAAATATAGGAATGGGTAGAGATTTCATGAAGAAGACATCAAAAGCAATTGTAACCAATGAAAAAATTGACAAATGACAGCTAATTAAACTAATGAACTTCTGCACAACAAAAGAAAGTATCCATAGAGTAAATAGATAACCTACCGAATGGCAGAATTTTTTTTCAAACTGTACATCCAACAAAGGTCTAATATACAGCATCTATAAAGAACTTAAACAAATTTACAAGCAGAAAACAACCTCATTAAAAAGTGGGCAAAGAACATAACAGGCATTTTTCGAAAGAAGACATACATGCGGCCAACAAACATGAAAAAACCTTAACATCAGTGATCATTAGTGAAATGCAAATCAAAATCACAATGAAATAACATTTCTCATAAGTCACAATGGCTATAGCCAAAAAATAAAAAAAAAAATTACAAATGCTAGTGAGGTTGCAGTAAAAAATGAATGCTTATACACTGTTTTGGGGAGTGTAAATTAATTCAACCATTGTAGAAAGCAATGGTAGACTGGCTAAAGAAAATATGAATGGAATCCTATGCAGCCATAAAAAAGAATAAGATCATGTCATTTGCAGAAACAGAAAACCAAATCCTGCATGTTCTCATATGTGGGAGCTAAATGAAGAGAACACATGAAGGAGAACAACAGACATTTTGACCTCCCAGAGGGTGGAAGGTGGGAGGGAAAGATTTAGGAAAAATGACCAATTAATACTAGGCTTAATACATGGGTAACAAAATAATCTGTACAAGAAATCTCAGAGATAGTAGTTTACCTATATAACAAACCTGCACATGTATCTTGAGCTTAAAAAAATTGTGATTCATCATATTAACAACCGATATATATGCAAATACAAAAATTTTATGAATAGAGATTATATACCTAAAAGTAAACACTAAAAGTGTAAATGTTCTGGAAAGATAAAATTTTTTTATCCTTGGGTTAAGCAATTTTTTTTTTTTCAAACAGAGTCTCGCTCTGTTACCCAGAGTGGAATGCAGTTGTGTGATCTCAGCTCACCGCAACATCTGCCTCGCAGGTTCAAGTGATTCTCCCGCCTCAGCCTTCTGAGTAGCTGGGACAACAGGAGTGTCCCACCATGCCTGGCTAGTTTCTTGTATTTTTAGTAGCTATGGTGTTTCACCATGTTAGCCAAGATGGTCTTGATCTCCTGACCTCCTGATCTACCTGTCACGGCCTCCCAGAGTGCTGGGGCTACAGGCATGAGCCACCAGGCCCGGCAAGGTAGAGCAAATATTTTTAGATACAATATGATAGCAAGACTTACAAAAAAAATTACAAATTTTTTAAATCAAAATAAAATTCCAGCAATTTAAAAGGCAGTTTTTAAAATATTTATTTTTAGTTGACAAAAATTATATGTTTTTTTTTTTAATTTTAAATATTTTTATTTCTCCAAATTTGTTATTTATCAGGAGTGACTGAAATAAAAAATATAATTGAGTCCCATCATCATCATGGAAATGGCTTTAAGAGAAAACTGGTCAGATGAATATTATTGCTTCCCATTTTCAACCAGTAAATAGTTACAGATAAACTGACAGCCAGGAGTCTGCCGAGAATGCTCAAGATACATTATATAATACAACATGCCTGTTCACAGGGGGAAAATTCCCAGAAAATAACTTATGTGTATTTCTTGATTTCATCATACAAGACAAGTACAAAAGCACCACCCATGCCTCTGAGAACATTGGACCATGCACCCTTGAAGAAAGCTTTGCCTCCTTCATCACGAGCAATCTTCCTCCA